GGGAGGAATTAAAACATCCCTGTGCCATCAGCACTGTTTTCAGCACAAACCCAAAGCACAGCCCCATACTAGCTACTATGAAGAAAATGAACTCTATCTCAGCCAAAACCAGCACGCTGCCTCATGAGAAGGTCACCACGATATAGAGCTAAAAAACCCTCTGGGTTTTCCTTTTACAAGGAGAAAACCAAAGACCAAAACCAGTGGCTTTTCAGGAATCCAAATCAAACCAACAAGTATCTCACTCCACGCTTCTTGCTGGCTTCTACTTTTAAGACCCAAAACATAGACATACTCAAGGCAAGAGAGAACAAAACCACAAGAGAGTTACTTTCCATCTTCCCTGTACTCATACAGGAGAAGACACGCCAATCTTAAAGCCACCAGTAACGGATACTCTCTCTAGTAGTTGCTTGTCAGACACACAAAAAGCAAAAGCAAAAAAAATTAAGCTTTAAGAAGAAAAACTGTTATTTAAGCATATAAAGAATACATATGGAAAATTAGGGGGAGGGGCAGGGGAAGATGGAACATGTGTTTCTTAAAGAAGAATCTTAATAAGCAATAACAACACGGTTTTACCCTTCACCAGATGTAACGCAATGCATTCCCAAAATGAGACATCTCTCTATTCTCTGCTACTCTCCAGAAAAGCAGCTGTGGATGCCAAAGCATGCTTCTCTCCACTAACCCCTCACCTAGCATCACAATCTCCAAAACAAATCCTGCATCACTAATGGGAAAGGACAGAACTCCCAAGTGTTGTGGTTTAACCCGGCAGGCAGCTAAAACAACCACTCAGCCATTCACTCACTCCTCCCCCCTGCAGTGGGATGGGGAGAGAATCGGGGAAAAAAACCAAGGTAAAACTTGTGGGTTGAGATAAAGGCAGATTAATAGGACAGAAAAGGAAGATAATAATAGTAATATACAAAACAAGTGATGCACAGCACCCACTGACCAGCCAGCTCCCGAGCCATGGTGCAGCCCCCAGCCAGTTTTCCCCCATTTACATATGGAGCAGGACACCATATGGTATGGAACATCCCTTTGGGCAGTTTGGGGCAGCTGTCCTGGCCACGTCCCCTCCCAGCTTCCTGTGCACCCAAGCTGGCAAGTCCTTGACTTGGTGTAAACCCTGTCCAGCAACAACCAAAATATTAGTGTGTTATCAACATTGTTCTCATCCTAAATCCAAACCACAGTACTATACCAGCTACCAGGAAAAAAATTAACTCTATCCTAGCCGAAACCAGACACCAAGAACCCCAAAATACAGCTGGAAGTGAGTTTGTATGAGCTCATCCTTATACACTACTGAAGATTTGCTGCTGCCTGGGGGAAAAAAGCCCAGCTCCTGTCAGATTCCTACAGGCTGCTTTTGATATTGGG